CCAGGGCCGCCACTGGTAGTCGGTTTATCCTGGATGGACCACGAGCCTCCATAGTCATGCCCAATACGACTCAATTTTGAGAACGGGACCTGTTCCAAAATGGGCCAAGACTAGGCCAGGCTTTGTAGGAGCTTGAGAAGTCCAATACAGTTTTACACTTCCATGTAACAGGCCCCATCTTGTCCGGGTTGTGGCATCAAATGGGCCGAAACTGGTTCATGAGCCAGCCCCATGTCCTCCTCTCATACATGGGCCCAGTAGATGATAGACGGGTCCCTACTTCTTGGAAAGCCCATCTAGCTGGTTCTAGCTTACAAAGTGCTATCACAGTCCAAAGTCACAAAGATGGCTCGAAAATGTTAGAAGTGGACGTAAAAGTTGCTAAGATGGCTAGTCATGATTTTTAAAAATTTAGTCGTTTGAATCTTTGATAAAATGAAGTAATGAATTAATCAAAGAGTTTTATAAACCATTCCTGGTGTAACAAAAATGTGAATGAAAGATTTCATTGAAATAAATGTATTCATGAATTTAAATAATTAATGTGAATTTAAATGATTAACGTGGTTTACAAGCTCATTCATGCTTATAAACTTGACATATAATATATTTGCAAATTAAGCGAATTTTAACTTTATTTAACAATAATATTAAAATCCAAGTTCGAAAGTACTTGGAGTAAAAAGGAAGATTTTGAGTTTAATTGAAATTGGTTTGAAATAATTGAAGACTAATCGGATTGTGCGAGATTGATACTAAGCAATAAGAGAGCAATATGAGAAAATTCACAAATTTCAAGAGTGAAATTCAACTTAAGGAAAGTTTGTAGACTCATTTGCACGCTTCTAGAACTTGATGATAACCAATTGTTCTGATAATTATGGAGGTTCGGGGATGAACAAGGATGTTTTTGAATATAGGATCGATATTAAATAATTGAAAAAAGGACCAAAATCATACGAAAAACTTGAAGTATGGACCAATATGCAAAAATTTGAAAGTTGCAAGGGCAATCGCGATGTGTACGCGGTCACATTTTTCTTCATCTTCCTTAGCAAAAGGTTGCAAATAATATTCTACTAACCTTTTCCATTTTTTCTTTTCTTCCTCAGCTTTTTAAGTGACAGAAAAGATGACACTCCTAAATAAGAACTCGTACTTAGGATACATTCGACCAAATATGATCAATTGAACAGTTAAGTTTAATATATCAAACAAGCCACTAATGTCCTACTTAATTTTGAGTTTGTGCAACACAAGCACGACTTAAAATTTTCTCTTTTAACTTATAAATTTCTATTATGGTCACATCTTTTATTTTTGTAGCCGAAAATAATTTTACATATTACTAGCATATACTTATTAATAATGTAGTCTTCATCACAAAATTAATCTAGTCTAGCCATTATTTCAAGAGAAGTTCCCTTCTTTTCTTTGACGTGCCTTAATACCAACTGGTAGTCTTGACTTGAGCAAAAATGAGATGTATTTGGAAAGTTAGCTTCGTAAATCGATTCAAGTATCATCTTGATTTCCTCTTTTGTGATCCAAGAATAATTATACATAGTATATATGATTTAAAATCAATATTATTCTTCTATACCACCCAAAATAACTAGTACCCCACATTCATTATTACAATCATCTATTTATCCGAAGCAACAAAATTAATATACAATCCCCAATCACATTTCTAAAACCCTATTTCTAGAGAAATGTATACGCCTATAATATGTAAAAGTTTTCTCTTCACTATAAGGCTATCCCTTTCTTCCTAGTGATTAAGGAATAGGAGGAGAAGAAGACCTTAAATACCTTGGCAACATCTCAAACAGGGTCCAGTCGATATGATCGTTATAGTAACTTTTAATGACACTATATACCCGTTACAAATGCCATTTTCGATGTTGCTCTACTCGACTAGTGATCAAGCGACAAAGTCTGGCAACAACTGTGCGGCGAACCTCTTCCGGTTCTGAATGTTGATGTTGTCGTACACATTGGATTGATGAGGGGACGTTGGGGTGTTCATTCCACCAAACTCATCTGCTTCACCGAGCTGAACGCTTTGGTTCGGAAGAAAGGCCTGATGCGTGCCTGACATGGAGAGATTTTCGCCATGTGGGAGGCCGAGAGTGAGAGAGACGCCATTGCTTGAATACGGTGATTGGAAGTGCTCGGCACCGTACCTTCCAATGTCCTCGATTGGGTATGAACCAAAACCAGAGATGAAGTTAGTTGGAGCCCCCATTAGTGTAAACTCATCCCTGCTCTGCCTCTCATTGATGAATCTCATGGAAATTTGCTCGTTGTTCGTGTCAGTAGGCTTCAAATCCATATTTATGGACGGGATGCTGCTTGGCGAATGTAACATTCCTATGTTGCTTCGCAGTTTCTTTGGACTTCCTTGAGTGATACTCTCCATTTCTGATGTTCCAATCAGGTTGAAACCTGAATGATTCCTGATACTGGATTCGGTTGGAGAAGTCGAGGTTGTGGACATTAATATTGCCGAATTTGTGTTCTGGTTCATGGGGTTCTCTTGTTTTTCGACGAAATTCTTGTTTAGGCTTTCTTTTGTTGGCCCATTTTCTTGTGGAGCAGGGGATTTTGATGCTGAATCTTCATTTTGCTCACTTTTGCTAGTCATTTCTGCTGCTCCTTTTTTCTCTTGTTCCTTAAATTCCTCCACGTACATTTCTTCGACCATCGGCTTCCAGAGTCGAACACGAGCATTGATGAACCAATTTGACACCTAAAAAATAATTTGATTTCACTTAATATCAGTAATTCCACTTAAACTAAGCAGAAAATGTTCAAGAATTTAAAGGGCTATTTGATACCTGACTCCTAGTTAGCCCTGTTTGTTTTGCAAGCATGATCTTGTCTGAATCCTTGGGATAACTGAAAAACAGGGAAAAAAAATTAGTATATCTTGATACCAATTGCATTTTTAAACTTAATTTTGTAAGGGATTTGAAAGTCGCTTAATCTTTTAAATGAAATGGTTCTATGGACTAGACTTACGGGTGGAGGAAGTGTTCAAAGAGCCAAGCACGAAGGACAGAAACAGAGCGTTCAGGCAATCCTCTCTGAGGTCTCCAAGCATTATGCTGGATCATGCCCAATTGCTGTAAGGCTCTCTGTTGTCGAAGCTGATTATCGACGTATTTGAGTCTTGAACCCTCAATCTTCCCAATCAAACCATCGTCTTCACCCAAACTCCTGCTGGCAGCTCGAATTTGGCCTATAATAGCGTCTTTTAGGCACCGGAATTGCTTCGAGATTGTCTGCAAAGCCAGAGCAGTGTATGTCTTTGCAGAACCAGCTCCTGCTGCTTGCTCAAACCATGTGATTACTATCTGCATCTGGCGGTAGTACTGTCTGTATCTCTGCTCAACCTTCGAATCACAAATTTTACAAGTAGAGCTTAGAATTGGATACAAAACGTCGAGCTTTTTCGGAAACAAAATATACTACGAATATCTCCTCGAGCATTCGACTTAGATCCCACTAAATCGGTTTGTCAAAAGACAAAATTAAAAATCTTAATATTAATTCTGATAAATTTTTAAATTCAACTTAAAATCAAACATTTGCAGTACTGTGTATCAGTAGATGTCGGCAAAATCAGCAATACCTCACCAAGATCGTCACTTTATAAACACAAAAATAATTCCAAGAGTCTAACCTACGAACGAGTGGCGTTTCAAAGATAATATATAATAATTGAAATCGCTCACCTCATCAAGCATGTTGAGAAGCTTTGCTTTTTTCATCTGAATTTCTTGTCTTTCTGCTGTAGTGAGCTCAGCGTCACGTTTTGCACTGGTGTCTCCTCCACTTTGTCCATCTCCGGTCGGCGGCGGCGGTTCTCCAATATTCTTGGCTTGTCCCATAGGGTTTTTGGCAGATTCAGATGCACTCTTTATAACTACCTTACCAACACTAACAACTTCATCAAGAATTTCCTGTGCTGCCTTCAAATACTTAGAACTTAACAGCACACTTTGCACACTGTTCACACCGTTGGAAATCCCTGAAGCCGAGGCCGAGGACGGCGACCCTCCCGAAATTCTTACATCATCGCCACCAGCATGTGGCGGGGATACGGTGGTCACAAGGGGTTGCGATATTACCTCACGTTCAGGCCTAAAAGATCCATAGACGGATGGCTGCTGGGAAGAGAGGCTCAAAGAAAGTCCTTGCTGAGCGCGTGTAACTTCACGTGCAGCCGTACGGTCCATCGACTGAGTATACAAATTGTAAGGGACACGAGGGAGGAACCCCTGAAGGGCAGATACATCGTGCTGAGAATGAACAGGCGGAGCTTGAGGGTCTTGGGATGTGGCAGCAGTGGTAGACGGGGCGGCCTGGAGAGGAATACCGACAAAGTGTTGAGTTTGAGGCGGCGGCTGGTGGGGTAAACTGAGTGAGTTTCCGGCGGTGCTGGGGTTGAGAAAAACGAAGTTGCTACCCGGCGGCTGTGGCTGTTGATTGTCAGAGTATCCAACATAGCCAGGATTCATCAAAATCAGTGTCTGTAAACCATCACCACCTCCTTGAATTTCCGAATTTCCATGAAAATACGTCGCCATCAATCTTCCAAATTATATCTGCAACAAAAAAGAACACTGAGTCGATAGTCAAGCCAGTATCCAAATCTTTGATACAAGTCGAAAACACATC